GAGGTTTTATTTTGAAAAATATAAAAAATTGCGGTATTCTCTCCCAATTCCATCAGTCGGTGCATCTGTGCCTCTTGACACAGGTTAATTCAGTCCAAGACTCATCCTATCTATAACATCCTATCTCTGTGAAGCGAAAACTCTTTAATTTTACTTTTTATCCCAATGGCTGAAGGGGTCTGAAGCAGAACTGTCCAATGACCTGCCCTGCAGGTTTTAGGGCCTGTTAATAAGCCATCAGTGGACCCCAGGCGTGCTAAAGCAGGACAGCATCCAGAAACATGCAGAACACAGCGCTAGGGGGCTGGAGACAGACCCACCGGGGCTGACGAGTTGAGATGCTCCGTACATTTTAACTGCATCACCATAGTAACCCTTAACGACATGCATAATAAGAAAAACTTATTTTTCTTGCCAATCAAATAGTTAGCCAGCTTCAGGTCAGATAGTGTATGATGCAGCTAAGATGGCATTTAATCTGTAAGTAGTGGAGTTTTAACTCCAGCTTTAGTATTTCTTGTTTTAATAAAGACTGACTTTGCCTTCTAACTATGAGGTGTTTGCAGGTCCAGTGGTTGGATTAATGTCGTCTGAGGTCCACAATAAGGCACACTAAGGTGACCACACAGTGAGAGCATCTTTGTGTCGTCATATTCCACCAACCTCAATCCCAAGAGCTCAAATAAGATCGACAAAATATGCCAGATATTTGAAAAAGTTGACAAATTACTTTCATCTGTGAGGAGATGCTTAGGAAACAATTTAATGCGAGTGTGGTGAAATCGCAGGGGCACCCGAGCTTTGCCATGTCTGCAGTTTTAAAAAAACATTTCACCCAGACACCGTCTTAATATTCCTGGCAATGGTTTGCACAGAAATTACTGGATCAGAGGTCCGGCTGTACTGAAACCATTGGAAACGACAATCAAAGGGTGCATCCATGAGGCTGTATGGCTCAAACGAGTCTGTAGCTCTGAGCGTTATTTTTCTCTTGTAGCATTTAGACCACAAAGTGATGCAGCTGCAGTTTTTCTACTACAGATTGTTCCTGCATTGTTGCCCCTGATCCATCCCCGTGCAACGCCCCAGTCCGGTAGGAGTTAAACTAAAACCAATAAAAACACAACTAAAGCCTGCTGTTATTCTCTAAATTATTAAGCGGGGTTAAATATTTGATAGCTGCAGCCGAAGAGCATCTTTGGGCAATTTTCCTTGTTTACAAGAAAGACAAATTAGGCTGTTTAGGAAAATTTCTTGTGGTGGACAACACTCATAAAGTCGCTGTGTGGCAGCCAGAGGAGCACATGTCATCGCTCTCATTATGGAAAAACCTGATCAAAAACTACAAAGTGGAAGCTTATTTAAGCATCAGACAGAAGGCTCTCTACATAAGAGGACGTCGTTCTCTGAGGAACGCATATGATGATTAGTTGAACCCATATCAGTAAAGCTGTAAATACATCGGGCGGGTGACGCCAGCGGCGCCGCTTGCGTGCAGGCGTTTGAAGTATTGTTGTCTGCTCACTGATCACTTGAAGAACTTTCACATCTAACATGGGTAAGTTAAAAAAATCACTAGTCATATTTCCTCATGGTCTGAAAACCTAAAAGTCTGTGTCTTAACCATCTGATCAAGAATGGAATATTTTATTTAGTTATTTTACTGATGATGTGGTTTTCCTGTTTATTCCCTACCAAACAGGAGGCTGTACACATCTGAAATTAGACCTTCAGCCTAATTTAGGAATAATTTACAGTCTACTAAACACATTTAGCTAAAGCTAAAAATCTGGAAGAATTGAAACGGAAGCTTGCTAAGGATGTAGCATTCATCCAAAATTAAAGGAACCGGATTCCTTTAATTTTTTCTTTAAAGGAATCCACAATTGTTTAAGAAAAAATACTTTTAAAAGTGTTTATTTTTGATGTACAGCAACATTACTGAAATGTGTTTAGTTTACACATTTAAATGAAACATGTGTCACATCGATGTAGTTAACGGTGCAATGTATTCTGGGAATAAAATGGAGCTGAACGATTTTGCCAAAAATTAAAATTGCAAATATTTTTCACCAAAATTGTGGTTTTATTTAGATTTTTCCTTTGTCTTATTCCTAAAATTGTAGTTTTTTTCCACCCCTTACCTTTAGTTTTTGAAAGCAGGCCTGCTCAAAGTCCATTGTTGTAGGACTCTACTTTAGTCTTTTTGTGAAAAACATGTTTACTCCTGCTTGCATGCCTGGACCTGAATGCTAGCCGCAAAACTAATTACCCGTCTGTGTGGCGACAAACCCACTTAAAGCGTTTTATGAAATTTTGTGTGTTACTGATGTTAAATATAGTGTGATTAAAATTGAGTGCCTTTGCGATTTGAAAATAGTATTTTCTTAAATTGCGATTATACTGCAAATGAAATTTATTGCCCAGCCCTAATATATAATATATCATAGGTCCTGCAGCGCTAGCTCTGTCCAGCCAAAACAGAAAACAGTAACGTCAAACCTTTCCGTTTAAACTGGAACACGTTTAAATGAATGAGAAATTAGAAATCTCAATAGGTGACGAAGATGAGGAGGACCAAATGGAGGAAGAGCAGAGATGAAGAAGCTGGTGTTTGTGCTGCTGCTGCTAGGAGATGCTAACCCAAATGGAGAGCTATAATACAAAGAGCTCTGATTTTAAACTGAGGCTGTTAACGATTAGCATAGGGATCTTAACACTTTCTTAGATATCAGAACGATGGGTTACGATTAGGGATGCACTGATCCAATATTTTTATCAGTATCGGTCCAGATATAAGGGACAAAAATAGATCGGTATCGGTGACAAATGACCCGATATGCGGCAGCACAACAACACAACACGGCCATATTGTTTATGATGGAGTGAGCGAAAGGATCTGCGGTGTGGAGGTTCCTCATGCTCTCTCAGCCTACTAGCCCAATGGCTACGTGCAAAATTTGTGGGAGAAATGTTCCGAGGGGCGGCGTTAAATCTTCAAACTATAACACCACCAACTTATTGAAACACCTCCAGAAGTTTCATAACAGGGAACATGCTGAGATTATCGGACTCTGCAAACAAAAGGAAGCAGCGGGAAGCAGATAACTTCTTTGGAAAGAAGTAAAATTTTTCCATGTAACAGTATAGAAGCCAAATATATATATATATATATATATATATATATATATATATATATATATATATATATATATATCACAGAGATGATACTTGATAATGACTATTTTTTTTAAATGTTGATCAAGTCAGAGAACTTTTGGTTTAATATTTTGTGCACAGTTGTTAAATAACTGAGTCATAACTTTTATAAAGGGAAGTCAAATCATTTGCACAGAAGAATGATCCCAGTTTGTTTTTTTCACACAATAAAACCATTTTTTTTTTAGGTAATAAGTCATTGCTATTTTTTGGTATCGTATCGGATCGACCGACATTAAACTTCAAATATCGCTATGGTATCGGAGGTGAAAAAAGTGGATCGGTGCACCCCTAGTTACGACTGAAAGATGCTTCGCTGTCCCTCTTAACAGACGTCCATTACCCTCCAATTTGACTTTCACATTAGCTCCTGCTAATGTTGTTAGCGCTAGTTAATATACTAAGCAGTAGATCACAAGATGATCACATCCATTTATTTAAACAGATACCTGATAGAAACTTTGAGGCAGCGATGCAGTGTCACATTGTCAAAATTTATGCAAGTCTAACAGTACTATAAAAAAAATGCTAATGTTAGCAAAAAGCTGCTAATTTTAGCTTTACTGTGTTTACTCTGTAGGTTTCAGTCCAGTAAGACCTAACCGTATCATCAATCCCAGCATGCATTGCACAGGCGAAAATATGGTGACCTCCACGGGTGAAAAACATAATAAAGGATGTTTTATTGTTTAAGTAATTCTGAGTTTTTGAGAACTGATGGTTCAACCAAATAAGGTAGAGATGCATTAAAAGAATGAGAAGTTGTCAAGTAAGGTGACACCGGTATAAATAATCAGAGTTAAAGGCGGACAGGTAGCCTTTCAGTAAGCGGACAGATAAGCAGTGAGGTAGAGTAAATTACGCCACACATAGAAGAGAATAATTAAGGAGAACATGTCATCAATTGTGGTTGAATCAAAATTTCCCCACGATCCTAAAGGGCGCAGAGAAGTAAAGTAACAGACACCCTCTTCATCATCCAACAAGCCAAATATGTTCCACTTTTCCCCCCCTTTTCTAGCATACCCACACTCCGTCACTCCACCAGCCCACAGCGCAGCCCAGGCGCAGGTGGGCCTGTCAAACCTTTGCCTCTTTGCACCTCATCCGTTCACACATGAATGCCAATGTACAACCGTCTGTGCTCCTACACATTGATACGTGCCAACTCCAGGCCAGTCCTGCAACAGCTCCATGTCACAAGACAGAAAACATTAACATGCTGAGTCTGCAGCAAGGCGCCAGTCGCCAGGGAAACATTTCAGTCCGACGCTCACACACACACACAGCCAGCCAAAACACATCGTCTTAATGGCACCAGCAAAACAAGTTGTCTAAAAATACAGACATAAACACAAAAGGCAACTTTCAAACGTATTGTGCACAGACATTAAGGAGGGTGAGATTAACCGACCCCAAGTGCAATGACCTTGGATTTTCAGCTATCTTTAAAGATAACTGCTCTTCAAAAACATTTGGGTTAAAAAACTGCTGCTGATAATTGACACTTTTAAACAGAAACAGCAGACATGGAGAGAGCCACGATCTTTCTTTAAGAAAGGTCTTTGCTAAATAAGCTTCTCATTGTGAATAAAACTTGGATCAACAATTCATAGAAACTAAAGCCTTGAACCTCCGTGGCTTTTTTTCCTCCCCTTTGCCTTTCTTTGTGCCAAACAACAGCTTTAAATGTGACAAGCAGCAGGCCATGGCTGCAGATCTGTCTAATAAGCAAAAAAAAATCCTGTCAGGTGACAAATGATGCGTCAAAGCCAGCTTACCTTTTTGGCAATGGTTGGAATTCCAGCAGCGGTAGTTGTAGTTGTTGTTAAACATGGTCTTTTTGCACATGGGACTATTTTCCATGATGCCTGGGCAAACGTCGCTGCACTCCTTGGACTGCTTGTTTCCGGCGATGTAGTTGTTGAACTCGGCGTCCATGATGAGGGACCAGTCTATAGAGTCCAGGTAGCAGAGCTCTGGGTTCTTCTCGATGCGGATGGCCCCCCGGGTGATGTTCCTTAGGCTGTACAGGCCTATATCCTTCAGGCTGGTCATCTCAAAGATCACCAGGGCGTAGTTGTAGAAGAGGTTACGGCCCCGGATGACGGACAGGTTGGGGAAGAGCGTGCTTAGGCTGTCCAGGCCTGAAACCCTGAACAGAAGCAGGTAGTCTGTTATCATAGTCAGCTTAGGGAAGCTGAGGGTGCGGAAGACTTCCTGGTTCACGTTGTTGTTGTTTTTTTCCCCGATGAGGAGGATATGCAAGTAGCCCTCCACCACCGTGCAGTTCTCCAGCTGTTTGAATTCACTGATGTCATTCCCAATGTCGATACTGGGAGTGCAGACTGCAAGAGGGAGAGAAAAAATAGGTGGTGAGCGGCCATGTTTACCAGGAGACCAAACAAGTAGGCAAAGCGAGAGGTTCTCAAACGGTGTTGCATGGACCCACCAGGGGCGCCTTTAGTGCCCGTTACTACCTGATCTGTACCATCGGCTCATTTGCACATTTTCAAGCAGATATTCATCTAGTTCACCATAAACAGTGACTAAAAGAATTTACTTCTATCTTTAAATAAAAAAGAAAGCTTAAGTACATGTAAAAACATTTCATGACATTTCTGAGACAACTGTAAAATTTTTACATTTTCTCCGTTAAACAGCTTGTCTGACATCATCATCGGACACGCTCAGAGCAGTCCAGAAAAATATGATTACACCATTTTAATCTGCATTTTAGGTGTTTCTTTCTGTAGAGTATGTATTCTATACTATAAAAATTAAACTTGAAAAGACTAGATCGACGTAGAAATATAAAGCTGAAAAAAGCTAGCTAACATAAATAGCGTAGGATCGTATTTCAGGGAAGGATTGGGCACAGGCGAGTCTTAAACCTTACAGTATTTAATAAATCAGAGAAAAAATAGTTTTGGTCTCTTTTATAAAGTAAAATTGAGCATGAAGTGAATGTATATCAGGCTGCGCATGTGCAAATGAGCAGATGGGACGGATCAGGTAGTGACAATGCCAATTAAAATGACTGAGTTGTCTGCCAACTAATATTAGCAATACAAGCTAATAATAATTGTTTTAGCTTGCATTTTATTCTAGCAAACAACATGTCTGCCGAAGGAGATTATGACAATCTGTTAAAAGCTAAAAGAAAAATGCGTAATGAATCACAAAAGCTCCGTTTAGACCAGCCTTTTGAAATAGTTTAACGGAATGGTCTGAGCACAGTAACCGAGCTAACTGTTGAGTGTAAATGGCATGCATCTGACCTGGACCGTTCCAGACACCAATGAACAGCACTAAATCTAGTAGGAACTGTGCTAGCGAGGAACCGTGCTATCGTGATGCGTAAATGGATGTAAGAATCAAGCCTGGGACGTTTAACTGATCCAAGCTTGGTCTGAACTTGGCATGGATCAGTTTCAGGGAGGTAGACTTAGAATTAGACAACGTTTAGTACAGCTTTTCAGACAGTAAATGAACATTTCCATTCCATAAAGTGCAGCAGTGAGGTAGGGTAAATGGGGCAAAGGTTTAATTTCTTAGGCCGCCATGTTGGATTTTGAAGTAGGGATTCATGGGGGGGGAAAAAATGACTTTTCAGCCCAGAATTCAAACTTCTAAGCTACTTCCAAGTAATTGGAAAATCTGGGAAACTGCTTAGGCTTCAGTAGTTAAGAATGACATCAGTGCATCCATTTTTTCTCTTAAACGTATTCCTATAACTAATTAAGGGTAAATAGTTGGATCTGGTTATGTTGTTAAAGTTTAGAATTGGCTGTGATGGTCAACTTGTTTTAAAATCATGTTTTATAGTTTGGACCTTATTGTAGCTTGAATTCCAAGTATTCATGTCAACTTCCAGCAAAAAAAGGCTTTTTTTTTTAAAGGAGTTTCTGTGACTGCTTAGCTTTTAATCGTAAAATCAATAAATCGGATTTAATGATAAGAAAATTAGAGATGTTATTTTTTTCGCTGCATTGCGCAGCATTAATTTCTGGTTATCTTTCCAACCTGATAAAAACCTCAACTACTGATAAAGACAGACCATGTGTTTCTCAAATTAATAATGCAGCCGGAATGGATGAAGAAAAACACTTAACCCCCAACCCCCCGAAACCATGATTGAGGTCTAGAAGCAGAGGCTTGATCCGCCTTCTTGGCTTTCCTCTTGGCTTGAAATTTAGATTTTCAAAGTATTTCAATGAGTGCCCTATAAAAGGTTAACAAACAGAAATTGTTTTCTCCATTTTTATACCATTCTAGAATTCCTTACAAGATGGTAGAACGTTTACTATAGTGGTGCTTGGCATGTAAAGGATACCAGCTCTATTGCTATATTTTAGTCACGTTTTCTTCTTCCCGATGTCTTTGTCAACAGATTCTTTAGAAGTGGAGGAAAAGCTGCACTTCATAACCCGTTTCTCTCTTTTATTGCATCCCTCCCTCGTTAAATATAAAGCCACCCAGACCAACTCCTTTCCTGCAAACCCAATGCTTACAAAAAGATCTTTATAATATATTGACAGAACTCTTAAGCTGCAACGCAGATGTTTGTCGTCCTTTTCAGATTTTATTCACACTGCGTGACTGAGTAAACACTTGAACCAGGTTTGATTCATGACTAGTTTAACAACTCAATAAAGCTTCGACTTTCTGGCTGTTGTTACTCAAGCATTAGCCTCATAACTCTTCAACGTTTTGTGTCTCAGTTTGTGTGCATGTCTGCTGTCTGAACATTAAATAGATAAAAGAGTAACATTTGTTGATTTGTTGCTTTTGATAGTCTATAAAAGCCAGTCTGTAAAGTTAAAACATATAACCAACCAAATATTTGAGAGTTACTCTTTACGTTTTTTTCAAAATTAAGTCAGTTTTTGGGGCTGCTGTAGCCCCATTGTCAGGGTTGGAGCCTCTGTCATAAAATATGTTTTATTTCCCCTACTTGTCTTTGCAGAGTAGCTCATCAACTTTCCAATGTCAGTGGGAATGCCGATAAACAAGATATCTTAATGCTACAATCACACTGCAGTCGCTTTGGGCAGCAGAAACGGACGGCTTACATGGAGAGTCTTTCGTTTTCGCACATCAAGGCGCATCCAAAGGTTCTAGAGCAGCATCTGAGCAGCTGAAGCGTGTAACGCACTTCACAAGCAGCAGATGCTGGAGCTGGAAAAATTCAATTTTTGCTGCCCGACACGCCACAACAACCAATGAGAGAAGCTGATCTGGGAGCTGGCAGGGAGTCAGACACAGCACTGATGATGCAGATCGCTATGATCACTCTTAAACAGTTTATTAATGCCTAAATTAACTTAAAATGTCGAAACCTGCCCGCAAAATATGTTTTCTTTTTTTATCCTAGTGCCTGCAGTTTGTACAAAATACCTGAAAAATGCCAACATCTACTTCCAGCCGCCACCAACAGTAGGGTAAAATCCCCAAGAGGCGAGCGGGCCTGAGGCAGCTGCTGCTGGGGACTCCCAGTGACAGCGCACCGCCGGTATGCGAGGGTCTGTGCGGCTCCGACAGAAAAATATTATTTTAAGGCAAACTACTTTTTACCTACCGATCACAGCATACATAGCAATATGCTGCACTCACAGGAGCAACAGAAGCAGATGCATCTAGACACACTTTACTGGACATCTGACCTTAATGTGGACAAGCATCAGAAATGAAGCAGCAGGTGCTTTTTTTATGCTGAAATTGCATTTGGTGTGAACATAGCATTAGCCTAATCACAGCTTCGCAACTAGATTACGACATTCGAAACAGGACTTTGATTTAATTTGCTTTGGAAATACATCTATATATAGAACTAGCTATCCATTCCATGCTCAGCTCCTCCTAACTTTCTCCCTCTCCTTTAATCTGAGGAAACATCTTTTTAAATGCGACATTTGTTAAGACTGAAGGGTGCATCATTTTGAACAGCTCAGATAAACGACTTAAACTCCCGTCATTCTCCACCGTTAGCGAGCCGTATCATCCTCTTTGCTTGCTGCAGGTAAACAAGCCGTGTTTAAGATGACGATAACATGGTGCCAAATTTGGATACCAGTGAGCATCAGTACCTATCCCTACTGCCCAATAGCAATTTTAAAGGTAATTGGTTATACTAGTTTCATTTAGGTGTAACAAATTAAGGGGAACAGACATTTAAATGTCTCTTTTTAGCATCCCAACATGAGTGATGTGATTTAAAGAGACATGGCCTTAGAAGTCAGCTGAACAGAATTATCAGGCGAGTTTTATGAACAGCTGTCCGTTTGCTTTTATTCCATCTCTACCTAAATGTGTTTTATCCCAAACAACGTTTTTCCAAATGTTTTAAAGGATTCAATACATGGAGCAACAGCTTCAAAATTTAATAAAAACAAAAAATGTATCAAATCTCTGGAAAAGATGCAGGCGAGGGTTTTTTATTCCAAAAATGTTCAGCAATTTCAGTCAAACTGCTGACCAATCAACACTAACAAAGATCTAAAGCTAATATGAACTCATAATCAATTAAAAAGTACTTTATTGATCCCAAAGGGAAATTAAATGTCATAAGTCGAATTGTTGTAGATGTTAAGAGCTGTAAGCAGGAAGGAACGTCGGTAATCTGACTGAAGACACTCTGTTGGTGTTTAACAGGCTGATGAAGATGATGCTCATCTTACTTTATAAAGAATTTACATTGTTAAATAATCTCCAGAGGTTCTAGAGGAGCTCTTACAACAGAAGTGGCCTTCTTTAAAAGCTTAAAGAGCTTATTTAAGTCATTTCCACTTATGCCATTACCCCAGCAGGTTATGGCAGAAGAGATCAAACTATCCAGAACAGACTGATAGAAGATCTGCAGCATCATGCTGCAAATGCTGAGGGAACAAATTTAGACTTCCCTTCACTGAGAGTGAAAGGTTTTATCAGATATTTGAAGCAGGAAGTAAATAATAGCCTTTGATGTTTGAAAAATAATAATAAACATTTTGGAAATATATTTAAATTGATTCAGACCTATTGTAAACTAGCTACAATAACATTTGTAAGAAGAAACTATCTTTTCTGCAGCCTGTGTTCTGAATTAAGCAGGCCAGCTAATGGAAAAGTTTGGGGAGTAAAGACAGTAATGATTGCTGACTATTCACGCAGTGTTTACCTTTCCAGCTCTTACTCTCAGCTGGAAAAAGGGCTGAAAACAATTGTGAACCTGAAGCCCCAGCAGCACCCACAGCAGCATTATCGCACATCACTGAGAGGAGGAGGGTTCATTCTTCCAGAGCTGGAGGGCATTGAGTCATGGAAAACTCACACCAAACAACTAGCAGGTTGTCGCACTACCACTTAA